CCCCAAAACCCCAAAACCCCAAAACCCCGCTACTCAAGATTGTTATCATAATTAAGGAAATAAACATTTTTGAATATTAATTCTTCAGACAATATTTTCTTGACAATCAAATAAGACCAATAGATTGCCACTCATTGATACAGTTTCTTGCAAACTTTCTCACAATCCTCTTTTTATCATCCAATAACTTCGATGATTACTTAGAAACTGATTCTTTGAATTTCGCAATAATATTCTTAGGGAACTGAGAAAGCTCTGTAAGTGTATGAAGACTTTCAATTTTTAGTTGTAGTGATTAGTCATGATTTAGTGATTCAATAATAAAAGGAATAAATGAGTCCACATACTTCATTCCTTGCTCTTAATTATCTATTATAATCTTCTTGAAAAGTTACAGTGCTGTGATCTTTATATCTGAATTAGATTCAAGCAAGAGCGCTTCTTCTGCAATCGGGATAAGCTCAGGAAGTTTGTCCTATAGCTATGAGAGATTAACAATTGAACAGGTTTGCATCATAAGCTAGATACCACATTATCTTGTTTCCTGCTATTAAGAAAGTTTCATTAAGATAGGATATAAAGTATTAAATAGTCTCTAGGGGTAAAGCTTGAAAACATGAAATCCATTCTCTTTTGTCAAATGCGAATAGTTCTTAACAATAGAATATTGATACAGATCAATTAAGTTTTAAGAGTTCTTTGGATCAGTTACAAGGGACTTTATCAAATTGTAGCCTTGTTGATCACCTCTTACAATAAAAGCTGCGCAAATCTAAATCTTAAGATCAAAAGATGTAAATTCACTGCTTAAAGCCTCATCAACAATTATCTTAAGATTCGGGTCTATCTTTGCTCCTGACCTTAGAAGAATTAGGAATACTATTTTACTAAATAGAGTTTAATTTGGTTGACTATATCCATTCTGGAAAAATTGTCTCAAAGTATTAGCTTCAATATTGGATAAATTTATCGATTTCTTTTTGGTAATCAAATATAGTATGTTTAATGAGTACTCTGAGACTTACTACTAGATGATTTAATTGAAGATTTCTGAGGATTTAGATTCATTAATTTATTACATAAGTGTCTTTAGGAATATAATGACTTGACTTGGAAGTTCCTTGAATGATTAAGTTTCAAAGATTTAGCTCAAAATTTTCTTTATACTAACCTCTGCGAGAATCTCAAAGCTTATCTTTTCTGAATCATTACTTGGCTTAAAATTTATGATTGATTGAGTAAGACTCTCAATAACAGTATCCTTGATTGACAGGATTTTCTTGCTGTCAATCAGTATGTTTACTATTTAGAAAGTGAATTCTATTGCTTCAAATCCTCTAAGAACTTGCTTAATCAAACTATTAACATAGGTCTCATTGAATGCAGCCATACCTTAGCTAACAAAAAACTCCTTAAGCTTTGATAAAAATACACTGTTCACATTATTTTGTTACGTCTCAGAAAGTTTCTAAAGCTATTCTATTATTATTTACTCAGTCTATTGATTTACAACTTCTCTTTAATCGAATAGTAGATCTCTCAAGGAAAGCATATACTAGTCGAACTTATTTATTACTGGCTAACCATCAATTATCATAGCTTGGGAATCGCTGATCTTCAATATTTCATGGAAGTTTGAGAATTTCGATAGAATTGATAGTAATTTCATTCCTTTTTCGAATAATACTGGCTAGTCCAAAATCTTTGTCAATGATTAATCCAGAATCAACTAAATTTTGTTGCTTACAGACTATAAGTATTCTTCACACGGCTTTCTAAGTTTGTTATCAGCAATTTTAGTTAGGATGTTTATTATAATTTGAATAAACGCAAGTTGCTTATGGTTATGATTGATTTCCCCAGATGTCAAAGGTTAAATTATTTACTGATCAAGGAATCTCTTTAGAATTAAGTTTTATAAGCTATTATTCTGGATTGCTATTGTCTAAAATATCATATAAAGAAGATGAAATTACACTAAGAAGTTCTTAAGCAAGAAATGCTGAAATTGACTCAGGGCTTTCACTTATTTCATTTTAACATTTCTCAATCACTTCTTCTAGTTCCTTTTGAACATAACTAAGAGAAATACCTTTATCAGCTTGCTCATTAATTCTCTTGATGATAATTCCAATAGTATCCGCAGAAATCTTTTATAAAGTATCCTCGTAGTTATTGAAGTACTCATTGATAGTTTGATGCAGAGCAACTGGCAAATGCTTTTCAACGTATTTGAATGGTTGAGTGACCTCAACCATTTTTTGTAATAGCTGGTAGCATTCTAGCTTTGTCTCAACTTAAACTGCACTTAACTTGTCCAAAATAAAGGGGAATGCTTGTTTTGCTAACAGAGGTGAAGCTGTAAAGCATCTATTCAGTTTTTCTTTGAGAAGTTCAGGGCTGATTTTGAATTTATCATCTTTAGGAGGCTCAAAGTTGATTGGGAAATAGCAAGAGATTTTGTCGAATAAGTCATCTAAAAATGGCTCTATTAACTTTATCTAATCCTATCTTTCTGGATTTGAAGCATTATTCCTCAGGATAAAATAAATAAGGTCGTATGTAATGATCAGATTCCTCGGATCTTTTTCCTCTTCGATCCCAGACAAGACTGCACTTATATATAAAGTAGGTTCGACCTGATCTAAGAGTATCTACTTGTTGAGTATGTAGGTCTGATAAATTCTAAATACTGCATTTCTAGTTTTGTAATTATAGGCAGGCACGTGAAAATTGGGAGAAGAACATGATTTGAGAATCTGATTCACTAGCTCTTTTGTAAATAGCATCTGATTGCTTGATGCTCCTAGATTTATTAAGTCACTTATTATTTGAACACTGTTTAATGCACAGTAAACATCCTTCAGTTTGTCCAAAGATAATTACACGATAGATAGTAAAAGTGCGCTGTGACTCTCTTGCTAGGCTGATTTTTCGTTCAATATTGCAAGTAGCATATCGTGCATTTGCTTCATTGAATCTATCTTGATCTAAGAATTGGATGATTTCAAGCCATCCTAGATGAATTGAAGTCTCTCTGCAGAAATTAGTTGGGCTTAAGTTTGAGTGTCAGTGGTAATTAAAGAAGACTAAGAGGCTTCTTAATGCATTATTTAATCTGCCATTTTGAGTTTAATCAAGTATATATATTAATTCAGTAAGGTATGTGGTATATATGGCTTTTTAAAATACTAAGATTAATTAACAATTTTATACTGAAATCAATAATAACTTTAAATACTTCAAAAATCTTCAAATTTTAGTTAGAATGGGGTTTTGGGGTTTTGGGG